TCTAGACTTGTGTTTGACCAAACATTCTGGTACCATGACTTAGCCAAGTTGACAGCCTCAGTAAAGGCTGAGCTGAGTAATACCAATTATTTTTAAATTTTTTTTAATGTTTATTTATTTTTGAGACAGAGAGAGACAGAGCATGAACGGGGGAGGGTCAGAGAGAGAGAGGGAGGCACAGAATCAGAGGCAGGCTCCAGGCTCTGAGCTGTCAGCACAGAGCCCAACGCGGGGCTTGAACTCACAGACCGTGAGATCATGACCTGAGTCGAAGTCGAACGCTTAACCAACTGAGCCACCCAGGTGCCCCGATACCAATTCTTAAGTAACAGAGATTATCCCACTCTCTTGAAACGTTGCATGCAATTCCAATTATACTGTTCATCATTTTCCTCTTTTTGCTAGTAACAAAACAAGAGCCACAATTCAAAGCTCTATTATTAAATTCATCCATGAGAACAATCAGTATTATTAATGAGGAAGGAAAGGGCAAGTTTTCTTCTATTTTTCCATCCCTATGTTGCTAATATCAGTTATATGTAAGAATTGTGAGGGTGAAATCCCTAGACCAGATTCATCAATTAAATGTGAAAAGTAAACTGATAATGCACAAAAGTATTCCAAATGAAGTTGGGTCCGCAATGCTGGAAGTGACTAAATGTATTTTCATGGGACTGCTACAGCCATAGCACCCTGAATGTGTGCCATCTCATCTGTATTTTCATGGGACTTGAAGCCCTCTTCTCTTCGCAGTTGGAACCACTGGATTTCCACATACTAGAGTTTCTTAGAAAAATCTTTTCCTTAAGAGGAACTTAGGGAGTTCTATCCTGGCATCTTGGAACACACCATCTGTCTACTTGGCTTCTATCAGCTCCACCCTGTGCCCCGGTAGTAAGAATCTCTCTTGCCCCACAGCTGCAAACACCCATCTTGAACATCCAGTCCAACTCAAGGCTGATTATACATTTTTAGCCGAACTGGCCCCCTAGTTAGGGATCTTTCTGAGATTGGAGCCCTGTTCGGCTCTTGTTAGACTTCCCTTCTTTCCAGGGCAGGATGGGACACCTGCGTCTGAACTGGAGATGAACCCCCCGGCGCCGCGCGCAGACTGAGGCTCGGGGCGCGGGTGGCCGAGCGAGAGCGTGCGCGCGGGTGGCTGCGTCGCTGAGGCCCAAGTTACCGGCTCAGGATCCACCACCCGCTTGGATTTCCCAGTGCCCACTGCCGGCCTGCCATTAGCACCTCCGTGCTATCGTGCGTGCTGCCCCAGCCCTTGTAGCTGAGGATTCTCATCCAGGATAAGACTTTCTCTTGGGTGCTGTATCCTTGGTTGCATATGCCACGCTTTTTTCATGAGATTGGGCTTTGCTTTTGGAAGGCAGTCCCTCTTTCTTGCCCCCTTCCCCCCAAGTGTGAGGTCTAGTTCTGGTTCCCCATTTCTCCCAGAATGCCTGACCTCCAGCAGAATTCACAGAGTATTAGTACCCTTGTACAGATGGGCCTGAGTTCTCTCACCTGTAAAATTAGGAGATTGGACTAGAAATGACCCTTTCAGCTCTGACAGGCTTATGATTCTATAAATGCCTCCTCTATTTAATGGTCCTTGACAGCACCTCAGAGAAAATAAAATCACACCAGGTCCTGAGTAGATTATTTTTATTCTGACATGTCTATGCCTGGCTCTCTTTTCTGATGATAAGTTTCTCATCATTGAGTAATGCTTCTATTTCTTAGAGAGTGCTTTTCCTTAAATACTATAGTTATTATCAGTTCACCCAATTTATTCTAGTCAGGCCATTAAGGGATGTGCTAGAGATTTTCCTCCGGTTTCTTACACAACACAAATGGAATCTAAACAGAAGACCCCGCTAATCTCCTGCTTCCGGCCCCTGGGGGCTTGTCACTGAACTCTGGCCAGGACCCACACATGCCTCTGGTACTTGGGCCTTTGCTGGTGACAGTATGCTTGGGCAGTTCCACTTCCTCCTCTCTTTTGGTAAAAGAATACTTTTACACCATGTGTTTATTAGGAACCGTGTTCCCTCAGGCTGAAGTGTAAATAGAGGATTAAGAGCATAACTAATTTACGTGAGAGACAAACATACCCATGAAAGCAGAACACATTGTAAATGATACACTGAGAAAAAGTTAATCTCGTTTTCCATTGCATGTCCGAACAGGCAAATCCTCTTGCCATTTACCTTTGCTTTTACAAACAAAGTGCAGAACAATAAAATTTTTCACTCACGGAGCCATTCTTTATTTCCAATCAAAGAACCTCAGCAGAGACCCTTGCAGGAAATGCAATATCTAGGCCACACACATAAATGGAATCTTAAAAAAAAAAATGATGAATGAGATTGTTTCCCTTTCCTTAAAAACTGAATTAAATTAAAAGCATGATCAAGCTACTTGGCTGTACAAAAGCCAGTCATTAATATTGCTTTTAAAAACTCAACAGGAAGCAGCTGATTCAGTGGACATGGACACATGGCCTCTGCAGAGTTGAACCTGTCTGTCCCAAACCACATTTGAAGTTATTCCAATAGCTCTGAGCAAAATAGTGACAGAGTAATTGGCAGTAAACAAGATAAAGTGTATGTGTTCTTTGGCTATTATGTTAGCGACTAAGTACATTGAAATACTATCAGCCAAAAATATAATTTCCAAAAAGAACATTACTGATATAATAAATGTTTGTGACCTTTAAATCTTCTAAAGGTTTAGTATGGTTCCAGGAGGGAAAATTGGGCATTCTTGCACAGCCATATCTTGGGCTGGATACCCAAGGCAAGGATGCCCTGGATACCTCAGGCAAGGATAGCCTTGTGTTAAGAGGTCACCTGAGAGGAGCATTGGGAAAACTTCCCAGGCCCCAAATCTCTCCGCCATCCACTGACATTCCACCCTGAAATGTGTACTACAGATGTTTAATGTTTTCTCCCTTGAACTTGTCCTCCTGGGAGAGAAGCCATATTTGACTTCAAGATGGATTCACTTATGAAGGTCTTTCTCGAGAATTATTTCTGATGCAGAAAAGGTGAGGGTTGGAAAGCATGAACATGTCAGGAGTCTGAGGTCAGAGGAAGAGAATGTGAGCAAGCTGGGAAGGAAGAGGGGACATAACCAAACAAGGAAATACTGCATGAGGAAGACAAACTGGGTACTTCAACGTCACGTCCAGGGCCAGTGCTGAACTTGGAAGTTTTTAAATTTGAACTTAAAATGGATTAATACTGTGACATAAAGTCTGAGGCAGAGAAATGCTAAAATGCTGGATGAAGCAAGAAAAAAAAAAATATAGATCATCCAGAATTCATCTTTGATCTAAATTCAAGGCCAAACAGTTATCTGTAGAAGGCTTCAGAAATGTACATTGGACTTTTTTGCAGCCGATTCTATTCATTCCTTTTCAGGACTTGACCTTTTATTACTTGAGCTCTTTGGCATCTATGCTCTTTGCCCCTCCTTTGTTCTTAACATTCTCTGTGCTTGGTTTCTGTGACATCGGCTTTTCTGCATCTCCTCCTACCCTCTGGCCATTTGTTTCCCCTCTACTACCTCTATTCCCTGAATGCTGATGCTTTTCCTATTCGCTGTGGGAAAACCCATCTTCTCCAAAAGTAATCTTACCAGTGCTGGTAGTTTTCCATCTGGAGCCCATTGCTCTCCTCTGGGATCTAACTGTATCCAGTTATCCAACTGCTTATTGGACTTCTCTATCTGAATGTGCTGGTCCAAAGTTACACTCCCCATTTTCTCAGTCCTCTTCTGCCCACCTCACTCCCTCTCCCGTATTCCTCATTGTGTGGAAAGATGCTGCCATCCAGATGCTCAGACTACAAAGCATGGATTCTCATCTTCCAAACAACTGTTGATTGAGCTAACTACTCCCCATTCCTATGGCCCGTGAGCACTCACCACTCTGCCTCATTCCGCCCTGCTCTAATATCCTCCCGACTGGTCCCCAAATTCCCTCCCTGTCCCATTCCAGGCTCCATCGGAAATCGAACAGGACTCCATTGCTCACAGTCTGTGCATGACTCCCCACATCCTGCATCTTACAGAATAAAATCTACACATATTTGCACGCCATTTAAGACCCCTTATGATTTATGATTATATTTATTTCCTCCCTACCCCCAACACACACACACACACACACACACACACACACACACACACACACACTTTTAAGTCAGCGATACCAAACTACTTACATTCCCATATTGCATCTAACTCTCCCACTTCTACTTGATGTTCTTCTGCCTGGAATGCTTTTCTGTCAACCCTGGCCTACCTCCTTTTTTATTATCGTTCTCACACTAAGGCTTCCTTTCTCAAAGCAAGTGTTTTTTCTCCATGAGGACCTCTCTAACTCTCCCCTGTGGTATATCTTATGTGTGTGCACCTCTACCGTGGCAGGTACCACATTTGTTCACCAAGCAGGCCCAGCATCTTAAAAAAAAAAAATGACTGGCACATATTAGGTGCTCAATAAATACTTGCTTAATGAATGAGTGTTGTTTATATTTATTGGGATATCTGTTTCCCCACTAGATTATAATATCCCTTGTATCTGCAATGACTAGCCAGATAGAGAACCCGCCACCGTTAGGTGATTGAGTTTGGCAATGTAAACTTCCACATTTTACAATCTTTAGCATATTTCAAGGATTCAAAAATATAAATGAGTTATTATTAAAATCCCAATAAGATTCTAGTTCTTAGAGAACTGATTTTATTTTGCCTAACGACCAACTTTAGCAAATTCATAGTAATGGAGAGAATATTGGAAATAGCAAATGATACGTAAAAAAAGATAACTTCCTTTTGAATTTGGAAGTGGAAAGGGCTCTTTGTACTTACATTTTAAAGATTTTATTTTATTTATTTATTCAGTTATCTCTATACCCAGTGCAGGGCTCGAACTCACAACCCTGAGATCAAAAGTTGCAGCTTTATCAACCGAGCCAGCCAGGCATCCCTGTACTTACGTTTTAAATTGGGAGTGACTGAGGACCCAGCAATTCATGATCTATTGAATAAATCTTGAATTCATACTGCAAAGGTCTGGCTGTCTGGGTTCTCTTCTTTGCCCTCTGATCCTGACTTCACATTGGGCACTGATTTCATCACCTCTTAGACTGATTAACTCCGCTTAACTTCATAGACAGGTGTTAGTTTACAGCTTTCTGAAGAAGGTTTTGAAAAGTCTTCTGAGGGTTTCTGCAGGGTTAGAGAACAAAGGTCTCGTTAATAATCAATAAAATCAGTAGTGCCCAACTTACAGATCTAATAAGACCAGTTGAGACCACTAAAAATCCATTTAGGGGCACCTGGGTGGCTGAGTGTCCGACTTTGGCTCAGATCATGATCTCACAGTTCTTGAGTTCGAGCTCTGCGTCGGGCCCACTGCTGTCGGCTGCTCCCCTCTCTCTCTGCCTCTCCCTGGCTCAGGCTCTCTCTCTCAAAAACGAATAAACATTTTAAAAAAATCCACTTAACCAGTCATATACTGGAAATTTTAGACAATGTTCAAAACTAGAACTTAAACACCAGAAAAGTTTTTTAAAACCTCTTTGAGAAGTATCTTGAATATCAGCACACAAGGCGATAGGTGCTTCATCTTGCAGTGAGGTCTATTGGCTCTTCCTAGAAGCCCAAGAACCGATGGTTCACTCCATTGTGCTTGGGCTCCAAAGCAAGCAGGCTTTTCTTCAGGCCATCTTGGACACTGATGTCAGAACAAACACAGGTTCTCTCTGTAGGACCCTAACAGCTCTGCTTCTCCTTTTCCCCAGGGATCTATTTCATTCCTCATGTTTCTTATTTATTCACTCAATACACGTTTCCTGAGCATCCGCTGGGAGATGAGCCGCCTTCTAGGTGCTGAGGATACAGTAGTGAACAAAACAGACAAAATTCCCTGTCTCACTGGAGCTTTCTCTCCCTTTCTTTATCCACCTTCCTCAGTGAAGATGGGGGGATCTGAATATGCTAATCCTGCTCTTCAGATTGGCAAATGCACACCAGTCCATGGATTCAAAATGCTTCTCCAGGGGCGCCTGGGTGGTGCAGTCGGTTAAGCGTCCGACTTCAGCCAGGTCACGATCTCTCGGTCCGTGAGTTCGAGCCCCGCGTAGGACTCTGGGCTGATGGCTCGGAGCCTGGAGCCTGTTTCCGATTCTGTGTCTCCCTCTCTCTCTGCCCCTCCCCCGTTCATGCTCTGTCTCTCTCTGTCCCAAAAATAAATAAAAACGTTGAAGAAAAAAAAAAAAAATAAATTAAAAAAAAAAAACCAAAATGCTTCTCCCATTTTCCAAGATGGGTCCGTGTCTCAATTCTTTTTTTTTTTTTTAATGTTTTTTTTTTAGACAGAGAGAGACAGGGCATGAACGTGGGAAGGTCAGAGAGAGAGGGAGACACAGAATCTGAAGCAAGTTCCAGGCTCTGAGCTGTCAGCACAGAGCCCGACGCGGGGCTAGAACTCACGGACCGTGAGATCATTATCTGAGCCGAAGTCGGACGCTCAACCAACTGAGCCATCCAGGCGCCCCAGTGTCTCAATTCTTAACACACTTTTTCTGAGTTAATGAGGAGTGCCCATGAACTGGCTCGCCAGAATGGGTCTGAAGCCTGTGCTAGAAGGAGACTCCTGAGGGAAGAGGTTAACTGATCTGATGAGGGTGAACATCACTGAGAACAGACTTCCTGGAAGACGTCATCGACTGAATACAGAGAGGGGAGGAGAGTGGGAAGAAAAAGCGTGCGTGGTATGCAGCCTGGCTCTCTGCTCTGCCTGTGCGAGGCAATGAAAAAAAAAAGGGCAAAAAAAAAAAAAAAATGTCCTAAGGAGCCTCATTCCCACAGATTCTAGTCCCTGGAGTACTGAAGGTTAGCGCTGCTGGGAATGTAATCCAGAGACAGCAAAGTCAGCACAAAGTGCTCTGGGACTGTCCTTTTTCTCATTCACGGGCCAGCTGAAGCAGCTTCCTCATAGCTGTTTCGCCACTTGCTAATTGCCAGTAATTACCCTTAAGCCCCGCGTTGAAAGGGCTAAAACTATTTCATGAAATTTTGTACAGATGAGTATTTATAAATTGGGGTTTCCGTCTCAGCGGTATCAGTACTTAAGCAGAGCTAATAATTGACCTGGAAAAAAAGTTTTGGTGGCTGCAGTTAAGCGACTTGGTGACTAGAACCAACTGATACAATGTTCCGAGGTGCTTAACTTTTCTTCAGTTACTTAATTCATTTCATTGGGTATGAGAATAAAATTTTTATACTGAAATGCTTTTTGACACTATTTCTTTCACGTCCCCTGCTGTGCAAGTGAGGCAGTGGACTACAGGAATCGAAAGGATTAGACTGTTCTTTTCCATCACAGCTGGTACATATTCAAAATGCAAACCCGCCTGGGTATTTCCAAGGAGAATATTCTTTTCATGATGAAGCTGGAGTAATCTATTCTTTAGTAGAAATGACCTCTGTTTTCATGGCCTGATGACTGAGCAGTTTTATATGATTTGATGTATTCTTTGGGATCAGAAAAATCTGTCATAGATCTTTTCTAAAGATTAGGGCGATAAGCAACCTAAGGTTCTCTGATCTTGAAAGGAAACTATAAATAATGACTACAAGGTCACCAAAAAAAAAAAAAAAATTAGTACAAGCACCAAAAAGTCAGACTTATGCTTCATCTAACTGATACTCACTTGATGTTTTCCAAAATTCAAGGAAATAAATTTTTTTAAAATGACTCTTCTTTTTATTTTATTTTTTTTAATTTTTTTTTTCAACGTTTATTTATTTTTGGGACAGAGAGAGACAGAGCATGAATGGGGGAGGGGCAGAGAGAGAGGGAGACACAGAATCGGAAGCAGGCTCCAGGCTCTGAGCCATCAGCCCAGAGCCCGACGCGGGGCTCGAACTCCCGGACCGCGAGATCGTGACCTGGCTGAAGTCGGACGCTTAACCGACTGCGCCACCCAGGCGCCCCATGACTCTTCTTTTTAAAAAGAAATCTAAAAGAGGCTTAAGTCTAACTTTAACCAAACTAACAGTGCTATCAGCTACTTCCAGGAAATAAAAGGAAGACAGAAAATAACTCTGTACATTTTATTTTAAATTATACGATATTAGAGAATAAGCATTTTTTTTGCTTATGTCATTTATATGTTTAATAACAGTAACTGCCATTTACTGAGTATCTACTAAGTGCCTAGCATTCTATTCAGTGCTTTACATAAAACATGGTAGAATGATTAAGACAGCATGCTCTGGAGTTAGACTGCCTGAGTGTAAATACTGATTATTTACTATCTGTGATCTTGATAACATTACTGAACTTTTCTGTGCCTGTTTATTCATTTGAAAAGGGGGAGTAAATAATAGTATCAACATCAGAGGATTGTTTGAGGATGAAATGTGTAGTATACCATGAGCACTCAACATATATAAGCAATTATTATTATCCCACTTAAGGCAGGTACGTAATTTAATGATGCCCCATTTTTTCTCCTGATTTTGTAGGTGGGAATAAGAGACACAAAGGGTTGGGTTACTTTACCAAGGTTAACTCAGCTCTGTTAAACTCTTAAGATCTACACTTTTAACAACTATAGTCTACTACAAATACACTGGGGATCACAAATCCATTTTGGACATGGGCAAAATATAAACAAATAACTTATACATGTCTGAAATTAGCCTATAAAGAGCCATTGTGTTGCCATTACATTTGCCAAATTCACTTCTGATGGGCTCATAGGGGATAAGATTCTATTCTATGAGCATCTCCAGCTTACATCCTCAATCAATCATAGGAAGAGCTTAAAATTAACACATCTAAATGCATTTGGAAATCTAGCAATTAAACAACAAAAACACTCAGAGTATCTATAAGTACCAATGTCTGTAGTTAATTCCCCCTTCCCTCCTTTTTCTTGGTAGGGGCAACCGCTACATATGTCTACGAGAGAGATGTTTAGCACTGTAAAATCACGCATGCTCTACAGTTGGGTTTTACAATTAAAAAGTAGGTTTACGAGGGCAAAACTAAATCTATGTGGATTGGGCTATTTAATTTAGAGCCAGGATTATGTCTTTGACTACTTGGTACAATGCTGGGTATGCTGTCAGAGCACAGAACATAATAAATAATAACCACAATAAATGTGCTTGGGAACTGGTATAGAAGTTGCCTAGATTGATGGCTCTCATTTGCTATCCTGTATTACTCAACTCCAATGGAAATTACAATTTGCTTGTAAAGATACCTTATTTATGTAACTTCAATTTGAAAATTTTTTCTTTCCCTTTTAGTTATATGTGTTTATCAAGTTTGCTTTTCTTTTTTAAACATAATATTCCTTTGAGGAGGAGTTAAAAGATTTAGCTTTGCCTGGCAGCATGCCAAGTAGAAAAACCACTATCATCAATTTTCTTTCCAATAAAAGATGATGCTCAGAGTGGTAGACTTAAATTCCCAGTCTAACCTCACAGTGTTGATGAGATTTTCAAATGCTACTAAATGGAACAGGGTCTACACTAGAAGGAATGAATTTTTATTGGTGACAAGAGTGAAAATTAAACCATTATATACAGTGATAACCGAACACGGAAGAAGAAGTTTAAAATCAAAACAAAAGGATTATTTAAGGGCATGTCTCCATAAAATGAAGGACTGTGGCCCTTTTCAGAATATGCCAAGGGAAAAAGAAACAGTCTATATACTTCTCCACTCCTGAATGCATGCCTTTGAGGAGTTTGAGAACCATTGGAAAAGGATTATGAAGCAACACAGGGGCCCCTGGGTGGCTCAGTCAGTTGAAGGGCTGACTCTTGGTTCAGGTCATGACCTCATGACCTCATGGTTTGAGCCCTCCAATCGGCTCCAGCTCACAGATCACAGCCTGCTTCGGATCCTCTGTCTCCCTCTCTCTGCCCCTCCTCACCCCTCTCTCTCTCAAAAATAAATACATGTTTAAAAAAAAAAAAAAGCAACTCAAATAGTTGCTTCATTTAATCTTTCTTAAACGTTTTAAAATGGTTGACACACACTTTAAGAATCTTCTGAAAATAATGAAACTTATGCCTATAGGAAGACATGCGCACAAAATTTTCATACACTTTCAGGAGGATTAAGGGACCCCTTGAAACCCATCTGTGGATCTAGGGATCCAGATTAAGAACCATATGAGTCTCAGGAGCACACTTTATGTTTTATAGGGTGTAGATAGGAACACTGGCCAAGCTAAACCGTCAGTCCAACTGCAATAAAACTGTTAACCGATACTTACTACTGTATACAGTTTTTATAAATTTCTAAGTGCTTTTTTTGTAGAATTTATTTGATATATTAGCCCAGTAGACACTTAGATGCCAGGTTAGATAGATTAGGTAAGAAGGGGTAATACTGAATATGTATTCTGTGCTGTGTTGCTTACCAAATGTCTGGATAGTCTATCAGAATTAGATTTTGTATAAATAAAAATGTTCCTTCATGCAACATAAATATCCTTGGCTGGTGTACATTGAAGCACTATTCTTCTAATCCCTTAGAATAGATATTTATTAATTCTTTGCAATGAGAAACAAAGTACTCAGGTTTCAAAGGTGTTAAGATAGACACCTAGATCAACAGTTCTCAAAGTTTTATCTGAGAATCCCGGGGAGGTACATGAGATCCTCCCTTTGTCAATTGTGTATCTGTGTGAGTCTGAATGCTCTTCATATACTTCAACCAAAACAACATATTGCAACAGATTGAATGCAGAAGCAGATATGAGAATCCAGCTGTCTTCTATTAAGCCAGACATCAAGGAGATTTACAAAGATGGAAACAATGCCACACTTCTCACCAACTTTTGTTTTGTAAAACAAAGTTAACTTGTAATTTTCATTTTCAGTGAATTTACAAGTATTTTAAACTTTTGTTTTAATTTCTAAACGGTAAATATCCCTAGATATGACCTACATAAACACTCTGTGGAGTCCTCGCCAAATTTTAAGTGTTTTCAGATGGACCCTGAGACAAGTTTGAGAACTTGATCCATCCCAGAAGACAGGTCTGTGTGGAGGACCAAGTATAGTTGGTGGGAAGGGTGTCAATGCATGTGTCACGGGACTGATGGACACTGTGTGCCCTGTCTTGGGGATACTGTTCCTTGAATGGGAATGGTACTAAAAGTGGAGAGGGAAAGATGCAGTCTAGGCTCTCTTCGTTTTGTGTCCTGTCCTACGCACAGCTATCATGGCAGCGCAATTTCTAGAAAAAGGTCTAAAGAAACAATGAAATAGAATCCAGAATCCTAAAACTAGGACAGACAACTGCTGGCTGTTTAATGAAAAACAAAGAAGCTGCTGCTTCTTCTCCAATGAGAACGGAAAACACTTTTTGGATTTCCATTGTTTTTTGTTTTTTCTTTTTGTCAGCTTATACAAAATTTATTAATTGTTGGATTTTCTATTGTTTTCTAATAAGCTTTTTTTTTTTTTGAAATACCATTTCCTGGAAAAAAATGTATATATTTTTTTAAGGGGACAAATCGGTAGAGGATACAGGCAAAGCCTAAATGTACCTTCAAATGTATATCTTAAAATTTAACATTTACCTCCTATGCACTAAGCATTGTGCTACAGAGTAAACTGTGACACAGGGGAAACAGTCTTGAATTTGGAATGAGAAAAATTGTTTCAAACTATTTGCTGTATCGTTTGGGGTAATTTAACCTCTCCGAGTCTCATTTTCTTATTTATAAAATGTGGGTAAAATCTCACGAGGCTGTTGGGGGTTAAAAAGAGTTAACCTGTGTCTAGGAGACAGCATAGCGCATTGTAGGTCTTCAATGGATAGCCAGGGGAGTGCATGTAAAGGCCAATGATATCAGTAAGGGAGAGGAGACGTATAGACAAACACTTGAAAAATAGACAAACACTTTAAAACTACACGGCGGAAGGTCTGACGTGCCAGTGTCACTACAAAAGTATCTAGAAAGTGCTACGGAGTGTCAAGGGAAGGAGTCGCACTCGCTGTGATTGGGAGAAGATGCTTAGGGAAATGAGGGAATGTAGAAAGACACCCCACGCCCCCCACCCTCCGCACCTTCTCCAGCCGCGCATCCCGCCCTACCCTGCGAAGTCAAACTGCTTCCTGCGGCTTCCACGCTAGACTAGAAGAGCACCGCGCTCTAGGCTTGCTGGACTCTCGCCGGGCACCTTGAGCGTGGGTGTCCAGCACGAGCATCTCAGCACGCGGGCACACTAAGCCGGCCGGAGACGGCAGCACTAAGGCACCCACACACCCTGAGCTCTGCGCAGATAGTAAGCGGACGCAAGCAGGGGTAGGGGAGAGGAACTCCCAAGTTCCTAGCCGCCGTTCACCCACTCTCCCCGCACGCACAACCATCCTCAGCCTCCCAACTTGCCCTCACACCACCGTAGGGGCAGCGAGGAGGCCTCCGACTGCGGCGGAGCTCCACTGCGGGGCCCCGCTCCCCAGCTCGCGGGAACCTAGCGGCCGGCGTTCGCTTGCTCGCTCATCGATTGGCACTGCCTTACTCCTCTGGCTCTACTCGCGGGGAAACGGTCCCCGAGACTTGGAAAGACCGGCTGAACGCGGGGCGGGAACCAAGGCAGGCGGGCCAGGTGATTGCCGATCGCACGGATGAGCGCGGGTCCCGGCTCTCGCTCCGTCTGGCGGGTGGCGGCGCCGGCTAGCCTGTGCGGTGCGAGGCCGGAGTCGGCGCTTCCGCCGCCCCCTCGCCCAGCGCCTGTGCGCGCTCGGCTTGCCCCTGCCCCTGCCCCGGGGAAAGCGCCCCGCGTAGGGCTGTCGCGCCGCCGGAGGTGGGAGCTGGAGTGCTGCGGAGGGAGGGCCGGAGGGAGGGAGCGCGGGCGGGCGACGGCGGTGGCCCCTCCCCTCCCCCTCCCGCCGCCGCGGAGCGCGCAGGGAGCAGCCGGGGGCTCGGTGGCGGCGGCGTCTGGCCCCAGCTCCTCCTCCTCCTCCTTCTCTTTCTCCTCCTCCTCCTCCTCCTCCTCCTTCTTCTCCTCCTCCTCCTCCTCCTTCTTCTCCTCCTCCTCCTTCTTCTCCTCCTCCTCCTCCTCCTCCTCCTCCTCCTCCATCTCATCCTCGCTCCCTCCATCTGCCGTGGTTATGGCCCGTCGCTGGAGCACAAAAGAGTCTCCGCGGTGGAGGTCTGCGTTGGTCTTGCTTTTCCTTGCCGGAGTGTACGGTAAGTGTCCGCGTCCCTGCGCCCCGCTGACCGAACAAAGCTGGGGCGACCCTGGGCCCCGAGGCCTCCAGGACAGGGGTTCCCCGGGAGAACCGGGGAGAGACCCCACCGCCGACGGGACAAAGACCCGGCGAGGGGTGGATGCCCCGGAGGGGTGTCCACACACGAAGATGCTGTCGCCCGCTCACCACCTCTAGACTCTCGGGGTTGTCGGAGAGGGGTTTGGGCGTCCCGGCCGGAGGGAGTCCCGGTGGAGCGAGGGGGTGGTGGGCGGACTTCCCGACCTGGACTCGAGGGCCCCTTGCACAATCCACGCACACAAAGATGTATGACTGTGAGAAGGAAGAGGAGGTCGCCCTCGCCGCTCTCGGGACGGTCCTGCCACCCCCGACCCTTCCGGGGTCAGGAAGTTCTCTCCCCAGTGAAATTCCCACCGCACCAATTCCCCATTCTCCCCACTCCCTGAAAAAGCAGCCTACCGCTCTCGTCCCACTCCTGCACCTCGGAGGCCGAGGCTCCGCTGATCCCGGGCGTGCTGGATCCTGTCCCTTCTCTGGGAGCAGTACGCGGGAGAAGGCCAGAAAATAGTTTCCAGCCCCACCTCACTCTCTCCCTTAGGGCGTAGATGTCTGCCCCGACTCCTGGTTCATTTGTCATTTCATCCATCATTGGCCGCTAATGTTGTCACTGTTGCTTCATTCCAGTCTGTGGATTGCGTTGCATATACTCACTCCTTTGAGGTTGAGAGAAGGCTGGAGACTGTGTGCGAGGTCTAAGCTTTATGTTACATCAGGGTCTGAACTAGAGCTGAATGGAATTAATTAGAACATTCATTGCTTGAGACTTTGAGTTCCACTTCTGACTTCAGCGTTCTTAGTTTATCAGTTGAACGCATTGAAAAGGTGTTTCTGTGAACACGCTTAACATTTACTACTTAGCGTGGTGTTTTGATATCTTCAGAAGGAAATACTGTAAGAAATACTGTAGGAAATACTGTGTAGGAGTTGCCATTCCTTGAGAAATTTCACTTATAAGACGTCTAAGTCATTTGCCACGAACACTAATTCCACTAATGGTATGGTGATGGGAGTTCAGTCAGTATGTACTTCGTGAGCAATATTACCGCTTTTGAAGCATTTATCTGTGGAATCGAATGCGATGGTAACTGTTAGAACCTGAGAAATTACTGCAAATGAATTTAATGACCGTAAGTTAACATTTACTAGCAACCAAAATAGTTTTTCAATGTGATTCAAAATGTGTTGCTCTCTGCCTGATCCTGATTAATGTATTATTATTATACTGTATTATATATATTATACATTATATATAGTGTGCATTTTCGTTTGTTTAGGGCAGGGGAAGGTTTGCATTCGACGTGGTAATTGTGAATGGTATGCCTGTGTGTGATCAGAAAACCCTGTGCGTGACTTTTGAGTATTATTTGCACCGAGTAGCTGTGATTCCCACTTGCATGATGACTTGTGGGTTTGGGTCTACACCAGAGATCAATAAGCTATTATGTTGTTTCTTCTAGCCTGAAGGTGGGTATAGTTCTGCCCTAGGTTTGTTGTAATGGCCCAGAAGAGAGAAGAAAGCAAGAAGGCATCTTTAATCTGGGGTGATTAGAAGTGTCCTGCTTTGTCCTCTGCTATAGTCAGAATTGAATCCTAGAGATGTCTGATCAGAATAGATAAATAAATGAGCTCTTTTAGCTCTTTCATGAAAATCTGTGTCATTAGTGTTTGAACTAAAAGTCTTTTTGCCTCCAGGGATAAGAGGCTGTGAACCTTGTAATTTGTCTTGGTACATTCTTTTGTACTTGTACACAAAACGACTTTCTAGTAGGTGCTTATCAAAGATTTATCCTTTTGGAATTTATGTTTAGTGACGAACTGTTGGTAGGCAAAGAAGGAAACTCCTTTTCCAACAGTGTGGGACCATGTTATAAAACTAGCAAGTAATTGTGCCAGGGTTGATGTCTCCAGCCACAGCAAGTTTCAAAGTATAAGAAAAAAGGAGGTAGTGAGCCAGGCAGAATATTAAAACTATGTGAGCAGAGACCCTTCACCCTGCAACTGGGGAAATTCTCTTTACAGCTATACTTTTGTCCTCTTTTGTCTCTCCAGCCATATGTGGGTTTATATGAGAAAAAAAAAAAAGCTGTAACAATAATATGGGGGGATGTGCTTCTATATAAATAGTGGGGTTTGTTTAACTTGAATATGCACTAGTGAGGAGTATTACTGAAATACTCATCACACTGGGCCTTTAGAACAGATATTAGGTGTAATTTATGAAACTGTACCGTATGCATCAAAACGTGTTTTTAAATGGCTTCAAAAATAATTAGAAATTATTGTTAAAACAACTGAGTGTGAGAGTAACTCTTAACATGGCTCAGTGAAAAAAAGCAGGTTGCTCAATATGTAGGCAGTTCCAAACTAACTCTTCACAGAATGAGTCTTCTGCATTAATGGCAGTATTAAATGGGTCCAGGTTGTGTCTTGAATCTTGGAACATTTCATGTATCTTTTTAAAAAATCTGAGGGCGCTTGGGTGGCTCAGTCAGTTGAGTGTCGTACTCTTGATTTTGGCTCAGATCAAGATCCCAGGGTCGTGGGATGGAGCTGAACCCGGAGCCTGCTTAAGATTCTCTCCCTCTCCTTCCTTCTCCCTCCCTCCCTCTCTCCCCTTGTCCCCCTCCCCCCCCCCACCTTGCTCAGGGCTGCACTCTTTCTCTCTCAAATAAATAAAATAAATCTGTTTATTTTGGCTTTTATTCTCTTCACATGGCCATTTTAGTGGCCTACGTTTGTGACTGTTAAATGTGACCATATTAGTGGAATCGTGTGACTGTTTTACTTCCAAGTTACTTTTCTGAATGTTAAGGCCTTACTTGAAACTCTAAATTGTGATATGGAGTATAGTAATGTTTTTTAGAAGTAGCTGTTTGGTGGGGTGCCTGGGTGGCTCAGTGGGTTAAACGTCCGACTTTGGCTCAGGTTATGATCTCACAGCGACGCGACGCGAGCGCCACGTCGGTCTCTGTGCTCAGAGCCTGGAGCCTGCTTCAGATTCTGTCTCCTTCTCTCTCTGACCCTCCCCACTTGTGCTCTCTCTCTCAAAAATAAATAAATGAAAAAACATTTAAAAAAAAAGAAGTAGTCGTTTGAGAACCAATAATTATCTTTCAGGAACTACTCTATCTTAGCTGCTATAACTTAACTATTGAATGTCCCTGAGAGTTAGTAAAAGTTGACTTCTGTCTTTGGAATTTGGAAGGAATAAGAACATTAGTGGAAACAACTGTGAGCTTTGCTGGGCACTGTCCTAGGCCGACTATAGGAGAAGGTGCTTTTTCAGATCTCACATAGGGATGTCTGGCTTTTGCAAGTGCATGGAGGTTTCCAGAAACTGTCTCCTAGTCAACAGAAGCTGTTGATTGGCTCATCTCCCAAGCCATAAGTTGGTAATTGTAACAGTTCCATTGCTTTATCCTTTTTCCACTTCCCGATCAGTGTTTTCTAACTTTTTTTTTCCTTACTGAAACCCACCCTTAAAATACATTTTATGTTACTCCCAGTACACAGAACAAAACAAAATAAATACCATGAACAAAACCATGAAATAATACTTTTACTACCTGTGATGCACCCAACATTCTTCATTTGCTGGTTGGACTCATTATTTTGGACCCATTAATAGATTGCAGTTCCTAGTGTGAGAACATGGCCCTAGATGAAGTTTTAAAATGTAATTTGAAATGTTTGTGGTATTTGTATATCATTTTACAATAGCCTTGGAGAACTGCAGGTGGTTAGTTTGTGGCTACTTGCTGCCAGAGCATTTGATAGCAATAAGAACTCTTCTTGGCATACATGACTGGCCTGTGATAAAATTCTTCTTTGAACTGGTTTTTGGCTAATTATAGTCAAAAGTCTTTGCCATACACAGTACTGTTACAGAGGGTTGTGGTAACATAAAATACTCTTTTTACCTTGCATTTTCTATCTAATGGTAAATCTTTTCCCATGAATTTTGTGGAACATTCAACAGCATTTTATATATTTCCAGTTTAAGGATAGACTAGAAGTTCCAATTTTAGAAAGGTTGTAGAAATAACTGGAACGTGAGGAAAAAAATCTAAACCAGATTCCAATTACTTCTAAAAAAGTCAAGCTTGATTACATAAAATATGTTGAATAAAACTGAATTAGTTGCTTAACATAAACCCTTCCTTGGGTTTAGAATCTAAATTATATCCATATCCTGGGGAGAATATGAAGGTATACAGCACAGTTCTTAAAAATTATTAGCATTTATCGGGCAGAGACTATTAAATGACCACTTTCAGAGGGCTAGCTATGTTCTAGGAAGAATATGGTGGAGATTTGAATGATGTATCATAAATGGTTTAGAAGGTTCCTAGAAAGTAAAATCTCTGACAAAAAACATAAAAGTGATGTCAGGCTGAAAAGTGAGCAGCAGTTAAAGAAAATGGAAAGAAAAGACTGACTTTTGTGGTTAGACC